TCACTAAGGAGAGTATGAGCTATGAGTTGAAGGCATGGAGAGTATCTAGACATTATGAGAGACTTAGAAAGTCATTTGGAGAAGGAGACAAGTCATTGATGAGAGCACAAGAGCTATAGCTGAAGGCAGTCAACTAGGGTTTCATCTGGGTCAACCCTAGGTCAACCTTAGGTCAATTGACTGATTTAAGGGGCATTCAAGTCTAGTGGAGAGATGTGGGGTTCATCATTGGACATATAAAGAAGGATATGGAGATATGCCAAGAAGAATTCAAGAGAAATCAAGGAGAAGAGGAGCTTCTAAATTAGGGTTTCTGTGTAAAATCCCCTAGTTTAGGTCAAATTTCCAAGCAAGATAAGTCAAAATGCTAGCTTCAAATGGCTTCTTGGCCAACATGAAACTTGTAGAGGATCTCAAGACCTTTAATTTGAGTGGTGGAAGACATCAAGGAGATTTATAGAACTCAAGTTATGGTCCTTGCAAGTTACAGGTCATCTGAGGTATCTGAAATTTTGTCTGTGAAAGTGACTTGACTTCCAAGCAATTTTTACCCCTCAAGGAGATTTCAAATGAATTTCTGGTCAACATAATAATTGTTCCTCATTGTCTTAGCTTTCTAGAATGGTATGGCATGCCCTCATATGATGTGTGGAACTCAACTTATGGTCTTGGCAAGCAAAGGGTATTTTGGGCATTTGTGAATTACAGGTCATTTTAAATCATGTCCAAAACTCATACAAGGAGGCCTCAAATGGAAAAACTTACAACATCAAACTTGCTCCAAATGACATTTTGAGTCTAGAAAGAAGGTCACAAATTGTTGGAAAAGCTCATAACATGAAGTTGCATGATTGGTTAAATTTGAACTAAAATGGCTTATAATTTAAAGAAAGTCAAAGTGAAAAATGGTTTGGGAGATTTATAAGTCCAAATGGAGACTTCCAATATATGATTTTGGGTCCAAAAGACATTTTAGAGACAATGGTTCAAGTGCTTTTTTGAGCTTAGTGGAAAAAATCAAAGTTATTCATGGTTACTTGCATTTGAAGAAACATTTCAAAAATCAACCAATTTGGAATGCAAGGGAATGTGGCAAGATGGTTCTAGAAAGTTCATGTGAGCCCTATATATTCATGAAATCAGAATTGAGCAAGGGTTGGATTCATTTTTCACCAAAAATTTCCCAAAGTTTCTCATTCTTCCTCTTGCAAATTCTTTTCAAACTTCATCAATTCTCCATCAATTCTCATAATCCTTGATTCTACTCCACTCCACAATCATCAAAGATCAAAGATCACTCAATATCTGGCTGGTTTTGATCCATTTTCATGTGCTGTTATCATCCTCTTCAAAAGTGAAAAATCAATCGGTTAGCAAGATCCAAGGCCAAGAAACAAGAGGTGTTGCATACAGAAGCAAGAGCTTCACTCACTGATCAAGATCTGAGCATTGGTGGTGGTGGATTCACGAGTTTCCATAGCTGTTTTCAAGCTTTTGCATCAGGTGCGTTTTCATTCAAATTGATTAGTTCAGTTAGTTTAGCATAGATTTATTAGTTTAAATGTGATCTAGGTTGTTAGTAGAACAATTAGGATGAGTTTAGTGCTGTTTAGTGATGATTGTTAGCAGGTGTACCAAACTGTTTGGATCAAGAACTCGTAGGATCTTGCATGATAACCTTAGCTTGTTAGTTTAGAATGATCACCATTATGCATAGAGTAGATTAGTATAGGTTTGGTTGAGAATTATTGTGATGCATCTCAGTGTATGTTCATGGAGTCAGAACTTGTCTCGATCGGGTTTATTGATTGGCTGAGTTTTAATGCAAACAAAGACCATAGACGTATAGAGGGAGAGATTTAGAGTGTTTTTCATGTTTATATCGTGGTGTTTCATGGACTGTGGAGAGAGAACAGATTGATGGAAGTTGGTTCGTGCATGAGCATTCATGGCAGAAACCCTAGTTCTCATGGATTCAAGGTAGGAGACGAAATCGTGGCCATCCATCGTGTGTTAGACTTTGACTCAGAGCTTAGATCGTATGGCTCTCATTTAATTCTGAATTTGGAGGGAAGTGTAGAAGCCCTAAACGCACCGTTTCATTTAATGAAACGGGCGGGCCTAAGTGAGTTTTGATATCCCCACCCCCCAGTGCTGAGCCCAAGTTCCTTTTGAACGTGAATCCATTGCTGAATGCACCCCCTGCGTTTTTTTTTTATTTTCATTATTCTGACTTGTTCTGGGCCTAATATAACTTGCTGTTCGCACCCCCAGTATTAAGCCCAATCTTAAAAAACAACTAGGGCGCCTGCTAACCACACCCCTCCCCCCATTTATTTCTTTCATTTTGATTTTTAATTTCTCTTACTATTTTTTGATTTTTATTAATTCATAATAAATAGATAAAAAATCATTTTTGATCCATTCTTTTTACATCATTTTCATTAGAATGTGTAGAAAATTGTCATTAAATAAAATTGCATTTTTATTTTTATTTGATATTTTTCCCATATTTTCCAAATAAATGACATTTTAAATAGTTTCATTTCATGCATGGTTTTATTAATTTTTGTTCTATTAAATGCTTTCATATTTTTCATCCATTCTTTTTAGGTTGCTTAGATGAGATATTGAACTTGTAGAAACAATTTAGTTCCCATTTTTAGAAATTAATTTTAGGTGTTTAGTTTAGGTGTGAACAACATGAACAAATTAGGGTTTTCAGGTGATGATTTAAGAAGTTTGATTCTTTCCCTTAGGACTTAGGGTTTGACTAGTTTAGTTATGGGACTATAGGGGTTATGGGTAGCTATTAAATCCCTTAGAAAAAGTCAGGATTCCCCTACTGCTATTAATGCTCTGTATATATCTGATTGACTGGTGTGGTGTGCCCTCTGGGGATTATGGCTTGCTTGCTTGGGTATTGGGATTGTCTGGGGACTTGGGAGAGCTGAAGACTTGAGGAGATGAAGACCATTGGAGATCCAGAGATTGAAGATCAACTGCCAGAGTTGAAGAGGAGGTTATTGCTAGCAGATGCTGAGGAGACTAGGGTTTAGGAGCTAGACAGAGCTCTAGATTAGGAAGCTTGTTTCTCAAACATGGAATGCCTTGTCTGCATCCATCCTTTCTCTATGATTCAAAGTCTCCTTCAAATATCCACCTCCTTCCTTTGGAAGGATCAGTGAATATATTTGAAAGATAGAACTTTTGAGAGGAAACTTTCTGTTTAATGTTAACAGTTGATGAACCACCCTTGGTAGGTAATTAACTGTCTAACATTCATTCACTTCACTCTTGTGACTGATTCCTCATCCTGGAGGTTTGAACTTGAAGAAAAGCCATTGCAGATAGAAGACTGATGATCAAAGCCCTTGCCTGAAGGCCATGAAGATGGAGATTGATGCTTGTTGAAGCTTGTAGCTGTTTGGAAATTACTTGAAACCAGATGTTAATTCAGAGCTGCTGATGCTGTTTATTTTGCTGTTGTATTTCATTTCTTGATGTATTGATTGGTTTTCCTGACTGTATTGTTTGCTGTTTACCCTGCTGGGTTGAAAGTGAAGCCTGTTCACTTTTGCCTATTGTTTTCCAGGTTCGAGGTTGAGTGGGACTCCCTTGCCTCGCTTGTATTGTTGCATCCATGCATTTTACTGCTTTACTGTATATATTTGATATTGTTTCTGTTTCTGCCTATCCCGTAGGATCTCTGTTTCTCTCTGTGCAAGAGAGGAGCATGATAGACACTAGGTCTTAACCCATGCATGATAACATTAGGTTAGTTTGTTTCCCTTCGCAACCGTAGGTTAGAGTTCTGTCTCTTTCTTTCTCAAAACAAACAGAAAAACACCATAAAAATTTCAAACACAATAAAAGACACTTCTTCCGTAAAAGAATGTGAACTCATCAAGACGTCATTTTGTCCTCTTGGACTGTTAATCAGAAAAACCTGTTTCAGAAGGAATAAAATTAACCAAGACAAGCTTGTGTCGTACGTGGCCCGAACTACGTTTGCTCTGATCTTCCATGCTGTGTGGAAGTACGTAGGCATAGGATGCGATATCCTAGCGAGCAACCTTCCCCTCCTTTCCCGTAGGTAGGCGAACTACGTTGACTCTGATTTCTCGTTCCAGACGGGAATACGTAGGCATAAAGTGCGATACTTTGCCGAGTCATTTTATTTTCATTCTCTTTTTCTTTCTAACCTTTGACCTATAGTTTAGATAGAATAACAATCCATACCCGAAAACAAGCGTGGATCCCGTCGAGTACGACGGACGTGAGGGGTGCTAATACCTTCCCCTTGCGTAACCGACTCCCGAATCCAGGTTTTGGTTGCGACGACCATACCTTTTCCGTGTTGTGCGAGGTTTACTCTGAGCGTTTCCTTTCCCTCCCGTGGGATAAATAACGCACGGTGGCGACTCTTCTGTTCAGCCGGCGCCGATTTTCGCAGTAGCGACAGTTACGAAAATGCATTTCATGATTTAAAAATATCACACTCCTAGGACGTGATTTAGAATAGGTCTAAGTTGTGTATGTGCGTTCAGAGATGTATTTCTAGAATCTGAGAGGATTTTTGTATTTTTACGTGGTATCCTAGTATTATATATGGTTCAATAAGAAATGCACATTGATGTAGGGAGATAGGCCACTGTTCTTGAATCCCTCATTCACAAACAAGGAAGTTGATGTCTTGTTTGTCCATTACCAGTGATTTCTTGTTGTGCAAGTTTGTTTTGTTCGTATTTCATGCAGGATCGGTGTTGGTAACAATGTGTTCAGGACGATGATCGGTGCTTGATCAATATCCAATCACCACGCTATGTTAAAACAATCTATTACAGTAAGGAGACAGACATGGCACAAGAGTAGATACATTGAAATAATTTATCTTTCCATTCATTTATTCTACAGAAGAAATGAAATATTGAAATTAATTCACAATTTTCCGCATTTCTGATGTGTAAAACTGAGTAATAATTTTTATACAGAAGATGTCACAAAACTTGCTCTCCTGTGGCAAAAAGATTCCAAAAAATGGTTGTGACAACATAGAGACATGCTGTTATGGTTAAAAACGCTTGAAACGATCCCAGCCATTGAACAAAATAACCAGTTCCAATCGTGCTTACGATAGCTGCTAAAGTTCCAGCTGAATTCGATATTCCTGTAATAGTTTCATCATCGTTGTTAAACAAGAACCATGTTGCAAGAACAAAGACTTAATTAACTTTCGCTCAAGTTCTTACCATGTAGAATTCCTGCGTACCGAGGAGCAATATCCTGATCATGTAAAAATGTAAAAGATGTGAGCCTATAAGTTCATGAAATGTTGTAAATATAAAGTCTTTAGATTTTTGTGTGTGATGGACTTACTTGTATGTTAAGCATAAATCCAGCTTGGCTGAAAGAGCTTAAGCTCAAAGCTGCAGTCAAGAGTGTAGCAGCAATTGTCGGTGTATTCGCATAATTCAAGCAGATTAAAGCCACAGCTGGTCCAATAAATCCAATTGTCTGCAATTATACATATACATTACTAAAATCAACATTAATAAGGAAATTGTATCCGCCAGGAATATGAACTGCGTTTGAAGAGATACCTGCATCAATTTACGGACAAATGTTGTCGGGTACCCTGCGTTGATTAAGAAATCTGATGCAGTACCAGCCAGGTAACCTGAGATTGCCATTGTTGCCCATGGAACTGCACTAAACCATGCAGCATGCTTTAAATTCACATTATGAACCTACAAAAACAAAGTAGTCCATTGTTGAATGTTCCAAGCAATTCTACTAGTGTATCTTACAAACAAGCTAGCTCATAGCAAAGTATGAAAGTAATTACGCTTTTGAAATAAACCGGCATCCATGATAGGAGAACAAAGTAACCCTGCAAATTAAGCAAGGTCAGAATCAGCATGCTTAAAGTTAAATTTGTGATATCGACAAGTTCTTATCTTCACTCAAAAGCAAATAGAGCTCACCCAGTTGTTAGTTGCGTTCGCGAATATTATAGCCCAAGATGGTAATTTCGATAAAATAAGGCCTAGTGGAGGAAACTTGTTACTCTTTTTTGGAGAAACAGATTTTCCAGATTGGATTAATCTGAGTTCTGATCTGCTAATGAAATTGCTTTCTAAAGGATCATCTGTAACTCGATGCGTCCATGTCATCGCCCATAGTAAACCAATAGACGAGAATAATATAAACGGGCCGAAAATTCCGATAGTTGACAGCATAATCGGTGTTATCAGCAAGCCTATTACATTGCCAATATGAAATCCAGCCATTGAAATTCCAAATGCAGTTGCTCTCTCAGTATTCGGAAACCACCTATTCAAATTACAAGATTAGTTCACCAATCAAATTATAAAAAAAGTCGCGACATAAAGATATCGCATGGAGAGATTCAAGATGCATTACCTTGATAAGAGAGTGCTCATGGATGGAAGAGCTACTCCTTCTGCTAGTCCAAAGAAAGCGCGAACTGCCAATAAGGCCATTGTGGAATGATTTGCTGCTAAAGGTGTAAGAAGAGTTGCGAAAGACCATAACATTACACCCCAAGCCAGTACTCTTTTTCCTCCATATCTATCTACCAAAGCTCCACCAATCACTGAAGAGAATATGTAACCCCACAGGAAAGATGACTGATATAGTAAATGCATGAAATATATGTTAACTAGTGAATCCACCACAAACAAACAAAATCAAAAATGGTTCGGTTTTAAAACATATTGTCAAGCATCATAGGACACTCAAATGAAACTACCATATATTGTCAGAACCCGTGCTTATAAAATCCGATGGACCACCTGCTATCAAGTTCATGCTATAAGAACAATTGAAACTGCATGAGTCTCAATTTAATACAAACACCGAATACAACGCATTCAGCCTAAAGTGTCAGGACTATAAATTTTCAATTTCCTATATTCATAATCAGAAGTTTTTGAATCATTAGTACTATGTATATGTAGTACCTGAACAATGCCAAGAAAGGAGCTGGACCAACCATGTTTAGCAGCAAGAGGAACAATAGCTACTGACATGACAACACGGTCAGCATTACAAAGACACATGACACAAGCCAACAAGGACACAACCTTGTACCTCTCTGGAATACTTCTGACAACAATACCATCTTCTTCTCTACTTTTTCTTCTCACAAGCATTCCTCCATCTAGTCCTTCTGCAGTGCACTTCACACTCCATTTTCTGCACTTTTCTGTTCTTCCTCTTTTCCATTCCAATTTCTTGGACTCAAAACACAAGTTGGTTTTCCTAAAACTAACAAAATTCAAATGAGGTGATGATATCAATGAATGAGATGAATAAAGCGAAGATTTTCTTGTTGAGGAACACAAGTCATGAGATGTTGATGAGTTTGTAAGAGCAGCCATGAAGAATATTGATTTGTGATGATGAAAAGAATTAATAAATAATGATCAGAAACTCTTGAATATTGAAGAAAGGTGAGTTAGTTTGGTGAAATGGCAATGCTTTGAACAACCACCACGAAATTTGAAAGTGAGTTGGAAAAAAATGAAATTTGAAAGAAAGAAAAAGAAGGAAAATTTTGTTCGGTAGGAGAGTTGGTGAGGATATGAAAAGGATGAAATGAAGATTTGCGTTGAAGAATGAAAATGTATGAGAATTGAGAAAAGGGATTCCGATTTCATGAATTAAATGTATGAAACAAATACAATAACATTATTATTAGTTGATCTTGTCAAATAAAATACTTTGTATTTGCTTTAATTATAGATAAAATAATTGTTGTTGTTCATTTGGGTTTATTGAAAGTAAACGCACATTGAGTAGGTGGCACCACGTGTAGGAGTGAGCACACGTGCAATGAGTAATATCAACGAAACCTTAACCATCCTCGTTGCACGAAATCTTTTGTACAATCATTGACTTTTGGTTTTATTAACGTTAAAAACAAAAGGGGTAGGCTAAGGTAAGGAGCTAGCCAAGGCCTGCTGGGTCAACATTTTATTTAAAAAAAATTGGATATTAAAATTTTAAGAAATCACTTAATTTTAAAACTATTTAAAATAGTTTTTCATAAAAAAATATTTTTGAGATACAATTTTTTTTAAAAATTACAATTTTGACTATGTTTTTATCATCAATAATGTATGTTTATGTTATATGATGTCAAAATTAATCTTGCAATTTAGAAAAAACGAATCTATTATTTTAAAGGTAAAACAAACATGCCCTATATCAAATGGTGGAAAATGTGATTAAAACTATAATATGTCATCTTGGATGGGTGAGATTTCACATGTTTTTCGTATGATGTTTGTCTATAAATCTTTCATCGTGAGCCTTGTAAATTGCACGAAACATATTTTTTTTTATGTTGTTAATTTGTGCATTAAATGTACTATTAAGAATATAAATGACAATCAATTTTTAAAAAAAATTGCAAGGTACTATTAGAGTAATCTCTAGTTAGAGTTAGATATAGTTAGCTATATAGTTAAAGTTGTTAGGATGTGAAGAAAGTTAGATAAAAAGTATAACTAACTTATGCTACTATGTAAGTTTAGCTTTTTTTTCTTGTAGTTAATACAGTGAAATATACATTGCATAAAGATCGGGAATGTCTCTTCATCATTGTGAGATTCATCTTTTTCATTGCATTTATGTATGAATCCTCATCTAATATAGATCAGATTAAGAAGGGATTGTGTCTCTGTTGCATTATCATCACCATCATCTTTGTGTTAATGCTCTTCACTATAGGTGAAGATTGAAGCTTCAAAGAAACTTCAACATTGGTGACACATACAAGTTCAATGTGATGTTTGCAATCAGCTTCAAAGAAGCATTAATGGCGGATTTCGAATCCTCACTCCTCAACTCAAAACCGGTTGAAAATTCATCACAAGCTTCAACATCTTCAATGGCATATCCAGGATCAACAAACATGTGGTTTGCTCTAAAACTATTAATCAAGCTACAAGAAAATAATTTATTGTTTTACAATCAACAAGTTGAGGGAGTAATACTCTCACATAAATTCCACATATTGGTAGTTAGTCTATAGATTCTACCAATGTTCAAAATGGATAGCAGTCGGTTGGCAATATCGTGTTTAAAAACTATGAAGCTTGGATCGTTCAAGATCAAACATTGTTCACGTGGCTTCTTTCCACAATCTCAGAAGTTGTGTTACCACGTGTTCTTCCTTGCAAGCATGCGTATGAAGTTTGTGACAAAGTTCATAAACACTTCAAATCTCAAATGAAGACTCGAGTGCATCAAGTCATATTTGAACTCAAAACGAGCAAGAAGGGAAACAAATCAATATCTTAGTATGTCTTAAGAATTCATGCTATTGTTGATTCTCTTTTAGTTATAGGAGATCTTATCTTTGAAAGAGATTGGATTGATGTGATATTGCACGGTTTTCTTAAAGAATATAACCTTTTACCATGATGATATATGAGAAATGGGAGCTAACTGATATTTATGACGTGGAAGCTTTACTATACGTGCAAGAAGCACAACTTGACAAGTATATACAAGAACTTGCCACACCAAGTACAACAACTAATGTAGCATGCTTTGGTTAACTCATACGCAAGTAGAAATGGCAATACTCTAGCGCAAACCAATCCTTTCAAGGCAGAATGTTGGCAACAAATATGGACACTCAGTGGTAGAATTTTGGCATCAATTTTACGGTTACTTTGAACTTACACCAACCAAAGTTCAAGCTCAAGGATCTGCACCAAGTGACTTAGTCAATGCACCAGATAATCAAAAAAATCAAGCCTAACCTATGCTCAAACAAATGAAGGTTCACGAAACACAAGAAAAGGGGTTTGAATTAGGTTTCAGATATGACAAAATTTTTACAAACCAATCGCAAGACAATGACAAAAAAAAACAATGATAAAAAATACACAAGACTTTTATATTGGTTTATTGTTAACTAAGTAAGTTCAGTCACTGTTAACTAAGTAAGTCTTTCTCATAAGGTCTTAATTCCCTAATCAAACTGGTTACAAACTCAAAGACCAACTGTCAAAGACTTCTCGAGGATACGGACTAAACTTAATACCTAAAGGAATTACAAACTCAAAGACCAACTATCAATGACTTCTTGAGACTACAAACTAAACTTAATCCTTAAAGGAATTTAACCAAAGTTAAAATACAAAGATTATATGGTTACAAAAATGCTTTTAAACAAGCAGATGCATAAAATGAACTTCAGAGATTATATTTAAGAAAAATTATACAAATAAAAAGCTTTAAGTGTAGTGAGTATTAAAATTGTTGCTTTTAGCTTTTGCGTCTCTCTTCTTCATAATTCCTTGTCCGCTTTAAATAGACGATGAATATGAATATTGCAGGATATAATTGGAAACTTCTTCAATTTTACAACTATAATAGCGGTACGAGGTTGAGCCATGAATCGTGAAGACCCGTTGATACTACATTCTTTAATATTTCCAGCATATTTGTCCTTTTAAGGAAATAATTTATTTTGCCGCTTGAATGCACGATTTCCAAGAATAATCTTCCAATCATTGTTCTCTAAAGTTGGCTTCGTATTTCAGATGATTTGAAGCTTTATCATAGTTCAGAGTCTTGAAGATTAGACTTCAGAGTCTAAATAAAATGAGGTTTGGATTATCAGAGTAAATCTAGATGTTTGTATCAGAAGCGTTGACTTGGTTATTATTCGAACTGCAGTAAAACGGCAAGAAGCAAAAATTTAGTTTTGAAGGAATTCCCTCTAGGATTTATACTGTATCCATAGGAGTCGGTGCAAGGGAAATAACGTCGTTCAACAGTCTCTATATTTTTAATCTTGTTGTAAAAAAGTTTTGGTTAAAAAGTTCAAGGAACCATAAATAAAGCAGAAAATATAAAGACGAAAAATATAAAATAAAGACTGAAATATAAACGAATCCTTGTTGAGATTGGATCTCATTAATTGATAACGCGTGCATTCTTCTAATCGTGTTATACACAACCCAAACTTTCGTCTAATATCATCACGTATCACCCACAACAGAGATTATGTCTAACGCAAAGTCGAGAGGCTAACCATATTGTCTCATCGGTGATATCTCACACAATAAAACCAACACAGAGCATTAAGAATCGATACTCATATGAATGTTCAACCTAAATCTATGTCTAGAGTTTAGACCCAACAAATATTACTATAACATCTATATCAAATTAATGGTTTGATTCATATATAATGCCATGATCAGAATATGTACACATGATTAACCCTTTTTACATGCATTCACATAATCTGTCAAATGTATGTGAACATCGTTCTTCATCACTATTATCATGCATCCTCCCAATACCGTTTGTTGAGCGTTATCATGGACTTTACCATGTTGATCCTACTCATGCAACTTAATCAACACAATAAAATAATTGTGATGCAAATGAATATCAACTCACAAGACTATGTCAAAAGTTTACTCATTGATAGATGAAGATCTAAGATCAAAGATTTTGTCAAGACCCACAAATAAGAAATCAAAGACAATCAACAATAGAGAATCAAAACTAGTTCACAATACATAAATTAGATGAAATACATAAGGTATCCAAACATTACATCCAAACCCCAACAAGAGATCAAAGATCTTACCTCCTCCCCGTAGGGTTTATGTTTCTCTCTCTAAAATATACTTAAAATGAAGAGAGATAAAGTTTTGATCCCAAAAAGTACAAGTAACATTTAAAAAAGAAATAAAAAATACTTAAATAGTATTTACAAAATCTTTCATGTTCGCATTGCGGACCCCTTTCTTCACCCAGCGAACACGCTTTTAGGCACCTGAAGTGCCTCTAAACAGTTAAACCGCCCTTGAGAAATATTTGAAGTTCGTTGTGCGAGCAATTCTTAGCACTACGAACTACCTTGCTATAAGTTCACACATCAAACTTAGGGTCCTTTAGCTACTGACTTCAATCTGGGATGGTTCGTTGGTCTTTCGCAGAAACTTTGCACAGTAAATGTTCACAGGCTACTCGGTAATGTTCACCCATCGAACATTACAGAATCTTCATATTTCTTTGGCTTCCTTGTCCAATCTTTTGTGTCTTACTCATTGATGTTTATTGCCTAATGGCTACACAATAACACACACATTAAGGAATCTAAAGTTATTTGCAATATAATTGAATAATCACACAAGAACATGAATTACATCTATGAAAACATGAGAATTGAGTTGAAAAGTTCTAAGAAAGATGGTTCATTTTAAGTCAAAATTTGCACTTAACAAATTCTCCTCAACTAGATTTTTGCTTGTCCTTAAGCAAAGTATGTCCCTCATGAAAGCAAGAGAAATTTGCTCAAGCATAAGATTCAACCAAGAAAAGAGATAACAATTCAAATTCAAAC